GACTACAGGCATGCGCCACCATGCCCGGCTAATTTTTTCTATGTATTTTTAGTTGTCCGATTAATTTCTTTCTATTTTTAGTAGAGACGGGGTCTCCCTCTTGCTCAGGCTGGTTTTGAACTCCTGAGCTCAAACAATCCGCCCGCCTTGGCCTCTCAGAGAGCTAGGATTACAGGCGTGAGCCACCGCGCCCGGCCGCCAACCAAATTCTTTATTTCACGGTAGGATCCATAGTTTTCTTTGGATTCTCAACAACGGCCTTTACCCAGAAAAAGAATAAGGGATCATTGCCTTAGAACATCTCAATATGGCAGCTTTTTCTTGATAATTATGATCCGTGTGTGCATTTTAAGGAACTGAACTTTTCTACATGTCTATAATTCTTAACATGTCACACACTTTACAACCTCCTCTATTTTAAGTAGTCTTCTTCCAATTCAAAAGCACCAACTGATCAGGCTTACAAAGCGCTTTGATATTCTTCAGTTGATTCATAAAAGTGTTGTGTTTTCTCTGTTGGAATGGTGAACTCTTGTGTAACAAGGAGGCAGAGGGAGTCCTTAAACTTTTAACACCAAAGGCATATTAAATCACAATGAGTGAAAACATGATCTCTTGCAACATTGATCTTAATGTTGTGTTGTTGTATTTTCAGGAAGCTACTAAAGTTCCTGGGGAAGCAAAGTAGAATTTCCTAAGAACATAATGGGTAAGTTCTATGAAGATAATTTTGTGTTTCAACTAGTAGAAGCTGGTTTTTCTTTTCAAGTAAAGATAGACTTTCAAAATCAGTAAATGCAGGCTGGATGTGGTGGCTCATGCCTGTAATTCTAGCACTTGAGAGGCCAAGGCGGGAGGATCCCTTGAGGTCAGGAGTTTGAGAACAGCCTTAGCAAGAGTGAGACGCCGTCTCTGCTGAAAATAGAAAGAAATTAGCCAGGCAGTAAAAATAGAAAAAATTAGCCAGGCGTGGTGGTGCATGCCTGTAGTCCCAGCTACTCAGGAGGCTGAGGCAGGAGGATCACTTGAGCCCCAGAATTTAAGGTTGCAGTGAGCTAGGCTGACACCACGGCACTCCAGCCTGGGCAACAGAGCGAGACTCTGTCTCAAAAAAAAAAAAAAGAGTAAAATACTGAGTAAAAGAAGCCTTAACTTTTAGAATTTAGGGCTTATAAAAGGATGTTGAGCTCACATGGCGTATAAACATTCATTCATAAACAATGTTCATCTTCTCAAAATGAGTACTTTGGTAGCATTACAGTCAGTCTAACTATTTAAATATTGTCTTCTTTTTTTTTTTGGTCTGTGAATGAAAGTTTATTCATTAAAATCTCTTAAAACAATAAATTGATTTAGACCAATAGCTAATAAGGATCATAAACAATTATCATAACTGGCAATAACTAGTAGACATAAAGATGTGAGTATGTAGTCACAACTGCCCGCACACTTTAGCCAAAGCACATAGGGATGATAAATATTTTGTCTTAGTCTTCAAGTTTGAATGTGCTGCTTTGGTCACAAAAAATTAATATCTCCTTGAAAAATACTGGTAAATTTTTACCTAAGGTAGCATCTTTGAATCTAGACTTTATTCTGGCGTTGGAAAATGTTTAGAGAGTAATAAAACAAGAAGTTAAAAACTTTAGTTTGGTGGCTATTACCTTCCAAAAATGTTGCTGGCCAGAGTTCAAGTATTAACCTTGATAATAAACCTGTTTATTTTTAATGCATTATATGATTAAAAAATCATTTTACTACTTTATTTTAGATGGGGAGGAGAAAACCTATGGTGGCTGTGAAGGCCCTGATGCCATGTATGTCAAATTGATATCTTCTGATGGTCATGAATTTATTGTAAAAAGAGAACATGCGTTAACATCAGGAACAATAAAAGCCATGTTGAGTGGCCCAGGTAAGTACGGTTCTTTCTTTTTCTTCATATTTTTTACTTGTAATATTTGATAAATGTGTTTTTAGTTGAATTAAATGACACAGCATTTAAAGAGAGGGAATAACTCTTATTATTGCATGTTTATGTTGCATTGAAAAAAATTGGTTTCTGCCAATTTCTGTTTTCAATTACCCTACAAGTTTCAATAAAACTGAACTGATTATTTTATAATCGGAAGGTTTATTTCCCTGTGTTAGTTTCCATGATCAACTTCTTAACCACAGACTCTGATTAATTGGTGATTTGTGTTCCTAGTTAGATATAAAGTTTATCTGTCAAAGGTAACACCTCCCAAATCTCTATTCTTAACGTATTTTTTCTTGAATTAAAATAAATTCAGTAAATTTATGTGAATAAATAAAATTCACATAATAAAGAAATACTGTTTTAAATGTATAATTCAGTGGCATTTACTACTTTTACGACATTTTGCAACCATCACCTCTATCTAGTTCCAAAACATTTTTATTACTCCAAAGGTAAACCCGATACCCATTAAACTGTCACTACCCATTCCCATTCTCTACTCCCAGTGTCTGACAGCCACCAATCTGCTTTCTGGTTTGCCTATTCTGAGCATTTCATATAAATGGAATCAAGGGCTGGGTGCAGTGGCTTACACCTATAATCCCAGCGCTTTGGGAGGCCAAGGTGAGAGGATTGATTGAGCCCAGGGGTTCAAGACCAGTCTGGGCAACATAGCAAGACCCTGTCTCTACAAAAATAAAAATTAGCCATTTGTGGTGCTTGCCTGAAGTCCTAGCTACTCTGGAGGCTGAGGCAGGAGCTTGAGCCCAGGAGTTGAAGGCTGCAGTAAACTGTGATCACACCACTGCACTCCAGCCTGGGCAATGGAGTGAGACCCTGTCTCTAAAAAATAAATAAATAAATGGAACCGTGTAATATGTTGCCTTTTGTGTCTGGCTTTTGTCACCAGGCATAATGCATTCAAGGTTTATCCATGCAGTAGCATGTATAATACTTAATTCCTTTTTATGGCTGAATAATATTCCATTGTGTGAATATACCACTTTTTTTTTTTTTTTTGA